GCTTGAGCCACAGGTGCCAAGCCTGAGCCACAGGCGCCAAGCCAAGAACTCTTAAGCTTACTTATTAGATCTTACTTATTAGATCTCAGTATTAAAATCAATTCAATTTCAGAACTTAGCAATATGCTTTACAGGTTACATAACACTTTTTGAAATCAACAAAGTTCTTTTATATTTACCAAATACTAACAAGCATTAAGTTCCTATCTATAATGGCCAAAGTGTAACTCCTTGGAAATAACCGGTAGAGATCTGGACTAAAAGAGAAGTTTAGATGACAGAAAATACTCAAGAAGGTGCACAGGGGTTCCCTGGAATGTTGGTTTTAATAATCAAAAATCAGGCCAGGCATGGTGGCTCACGCCTATAATCCCAGCACTTTGGGAGGCCAAGGCGGGTGGATTGCCTGAGCTCATGAGTTCCAGACCAGCCTGAACTAGAGACCCCATCTCTAAAAATAGTAGTCCCAGCTACTTGGGAGGCTGAGGCAAAAGAACTGCTTGAGCCTAGTAGTTAGAGGTTGCTGTGATCTAAAAGGCCACAGCACTCTACTGGGGGCAACAAAGTGACACTCTGTCTCAAAAAAAAAAAAAATTGGAACCAATCTAGATGTCTAGTAATAGCCATAGCTTAAATAAATTCATATATTTATCCACACAATGAAATTTATGCAGCCATGAAAAATGACATATTTGTTTATATGAAAAGATGTCTATGATATGGTCTCTCAAGTAGAGAAGTAATGAGAAAACAGCATTTATAACATGGTCTCATTTGTGTTTATGTATGTGGGTATATGCATATTCCATTTGTGTTAATATGTGTGTGTATATATTTTACATATAGATATATAAAATCCCATTTGTATTAACATATGGGTATGTTTATATGAAGGTTAAATTATTTCAGTGGTAAGATTATGAGTAATCTTTTTTTTATGTTTTTCCATGTTTCTTAATACATGATTTTGCATAAGCATATTAGCATTACATTCAGGAAAACAAATAAAACCCTACGAAATCTATTTCAAAAGCAATATATGCATAGATTTTTTTTTCTCCAAGGAAGTTTAAATAATGTGACAGAAGAGGAAACTCTTTAGGGAGTTGCCAATTGTTGGAGAAATGAGTCTTGGATTATAGTCCAATCTGTATACTGACCATATACCTAGAAATTTAGGCTTTATCTAAAAGAATTCAAAAGAATGACAGATGCAGCACTTCAGAGAAGTACAACTATTCCAGGGTACAAATTTCTCCTGTCAATGACATTTCAAGTCTTATGTTAGGAATAGCTCCATTAACTGATTATCTCAATGGGATGGATTTGTTATATATGAGGAGTTATTTTGACTGTGCTTTAAAAATGATAACTGGGTACCACAACCCAAGCCAATAAAAAAATTTTCTAGGTGGGCTGGGCACCATGGCTCACATCTGTAAATCCCACCACTTGGGAGGCTGAGGTGGTTGGATTGCCTGAGCTCACAGATTTGAGTAAAACCCCGCCAGCCAGAGTAAAACCCTGCTTCTAAAAATAGCCAGGCATTGTGGCAGGGGCCTGTAGTCTCAGCTACTTGGGAGGCTGAGGCAAGAGAATCATTTAAGCCCAGGAGTTTGAGGTTGCTGTGAGCTGTGATGCTATGACACTCTACCAAAGGTGACAAAGTAAGACTCTGTCTCAAAAAAAAAAAAAAAAAGAAAGAAAGAAAGAAAGAAAATCCTAGGAATACTAAGCACAATCCTCCTTCATTTTCTTATAAAGTATTTTCCTCATTTGACAGAAACCTTTTTTACTATACAGATGCAACAGAATATTTACCCCTAGCTAAAAATTTAAAACTTTTTACATCATAAAATATGAGAAATCAAATTAGTTGGTAAACATTTTTCCTTATTGGTCCATATCAATGGTTAATATGTCTAGGAAAGAACCAAAATACCCCTATGCTACTCAGAAACCTAGTCAAAATGAAAAAAAATTTAAATAATTCCTCAACCATACCATAAGATCTTTTTTATTCTCCTTAACTGAAAATACATTTAGACAATCTTGCTGCATGTCTACAAAAATACTTTAGTTAACTTCAGAATAGTTTAGAGTCAACAAATGGTACCTTACCTCTTTACCATTCAGGCTCAGAACATTCAAGGCAGAGCTTCCCTCCAAGAATGTAACCCACATTTTATCTTCTACAAATCTTTAAGAGAAACAATAAAAATACTTTAGTCATAACTAGCCAAATTATTAGCCCGATGATTACTGATTAATAAGGGCCTACAGAGGCCTGAAAGAAAATAGGTCCAAAGAGGAGAGCAGCAGGGCTGGTGGTGACCTGAAGAGGACACTCTTTCCCCCAAAGCATTCAAATCCCATAGTAAATACTATGCTAATAGAACCACCACAAGAAATGGGCCTGAGAACCTCCGCTAGTGATGCCTGCTATAATCCAATCCAATCCTTCCTTTCATTGACAAGGAAAAACAAGGCAGAGGTTAACTGACTTGTTCGAAGTGATCCTACAAGGAGAATAGGATCCAACTCTTCTAACCTCACAGTCCAGTGCCTATGTATTTTTACTGTCTCGATGACTTCCTCTAGGAAATTTCCTATGATGAAGAAAGATAACAGGGAGTTGTCAATGAAAACAAAACAAAACAAAAGTTGGGTTGTGGTCCTTGTACTTCAGTCACTGACAAGACAAGACATTTACTCTCAGGACTTCAATAGTTTTACTATAATTCCAAATTTAAACTTTTGAAACAGAAAGCCCTCAGAAGGATAAAAACAAAAAGGACCCTCAAAGTTTTTCTGAAAAGCATGGTCACTGATATGGAATAAGGTTATTATGCACAAAAGAACAAATTATAACGTTATCAGTCATATTTTATAGAAACAATTTTGCGAGTTGAACTACTCACAACTGTATAAAACAAGTTCAGACATCCTTGCAGATTTTTCAAAGATGAGAGAGGAATAAACATGCATGCACACACATGCACTCCCTCTTTCTCAAATTAGGACTCAAAATATAAATTATGGATATTAAGAGGAAAAGGCCAAATATAAAAGTACTTTACCACCTATAGAAATCAAGAGTCTGGAATAGATTTCTACAATCACTCAAACATGACCAAGGTAACAGATTCAATTTCTGTGGCATAAAGTTATTAAACTGCAGAATGCTATCATTTGAAATTCACAGGGACGTTATTCTTTTATTTATTATTTTATTTTGTAGAGACAGAGTCTCACTTTATCGCCCTCGGTAGAGTGCCGTGACATCACAGCTCACAGCAACCTCCAACTCCTGGACTTAGGCAATTCTCTTGCTGCCTCAGCCTCCCAAGTAGCTGGGACCATAGGCACTGGCTACAACGCCTGGCTATTCGAGACAAAGTCTCAAGCTGTTGCCCTGGGTAAAGTGCTATGATGTCATAGCTCGCAGCTACCTCCAACTTGGGCTCAAGAGATCCTCTTGCTTCAGTTTTTCTATTTTTAGTAGAGATGGTCTCGCTTTTGCTCAGGCTGGTCTCAAACTTGTGAGCTCAAGCAATCCACCCACCTCAGATGTCCAGAGTGCTAGGATTACAGGCATGAGCCACCACAGCCTGACAAGACCTTCACTTCATTCCATTAAGGTATCTTCTTTTTTTGCATTTTTTTTTTTGGCCGGGGCCGGTTTGAACCCACCACCTCTGGTATATGGGGCCCTAACTCCTTTGATCCATAGGCCCCGCCCTCCATGAAAGTATTTTCTTTTTAATTGTTGACAGTGGAGAATATCCCTTCACCAAAAGTAATTGCCCCTGGAAACCTGCACTTATGTTGCACCGGTCCCCCTAACCCCAAACATTCTTTGTTCTTTCAGAGTGGTACCAAAGCATTATGGTCTCAGGGCAGGGCTAATCTCTTGGTCCTTATCCTCAATTAGCAATGGGACCCCTTACACATTTCTAACTTTACAAGGGATTCTGGTTCTTACATCCTTGGACATTCTGCCTTCATTCACTAGAGTAAAAGCTTTTAGAGTTTCCCCTAAATCTATGGATGTAAATTTATCCCATCTACACTTCTAAGGAACTTTTTATTTAAATATACAGGGGTTCTCAGGCTTTAATGACTTCTTAATGGCTTAGTCTAGAGACCAAAAAGATAATAATCAGTGTCCTCTTACAAGTTATGGTAGTCCCCTACCTATTGGGTTTCAGTGCCTGCTTTTGCTTTTCCAACTTGGCTGACTTAGGGTATAACAACCAGAATATTTCAGGTATAGAGAAACCTCATAGTTTTATAATAATAGGGTAATGCCTTATTTTTTTTACTAATATTTTTTCCTAATGATAACTATTTGTGAGAAAGCTTTTGATTCTAATTTAACACCAAGTTCTTTAGAGACTGGGTTATAAAAACAGGTCCTTTCTGGTACCAGAGTCTTTCATCCATATACAGTTTGGATTCTTTCTAGTGCACTGCATTATTTTAATTTGTGCATGAAGACATATGTCTGCTACTTTGCTGCCCACTCACATAGTCCACATGATGCTTCTGGTGATTTGGCATTTCTGTACTTGGCAAAGCTTACTGTCATCTGTAAACTTGGAGATTTCACTATGTACTTCCTACAGCCTTAAAATTCTAGAATATGTGTAAGGAAGGGGTCCCATTGCTAATTGTTTCATTTTAAAGCTTTGGGGTATAGCTTTGTAAAAAGGTTTGAGGGAAATCTAAATAGAATTTATTTATTTTCCATTTGTTCATTTACTATCTGAAAGGACTTGAGGTGTCTTAGGCATGATTTTTCCCTCTACAGAAGCCACACCACCTTAATTCTGTGGAGTATGATGTTTAGGATGCAGGGAAGCCGTTACATATATGCTGAAGTTCCCAAATACATCACAAGCAGGAGTTTTAACTTTAATGTGTCTTCTGCTCTTCCAGAGCACCTAATGGATTTGCCTAGGAAATATCTATAAAACATAGCTAAATAGCAAATGACCAGCATCACGAGGAATTTAATAGTCCTCCTTTCCCTACGGAATTCTCTCTCTCTCTCTCTCACACACACACACACACACAATCAATCTCTCAAAACTGCTGTACACGGGGAAGAGAACATTTTTAAAATAAGGAAAGAAGCTTCTAAAAAGGCAGATGGTTAAGTCTATGAGGGCCACCAGGACTGAAATAAATGTCTCCTGACTATTCATTATATCTCTGTTGGTTAGAAATTAAATATACTTTAAATTACTTAAAACATCAAATTTCCTTAAACTGGGAAGAAACATCACAGTACTTTACTCTTATCATTCCTTAAACAAATAATAGCAATCACAGCTTCATTCTGTTATAGGGCTCTGCTATTATGTTCTATCATACAGGAATCTTGAGAAGTCATAGGTAAGCTTGCACATATTTTTGTCTTTAATTGCTTGTATAAGGTTTCAGTCTTCCTTTAAACTTTCTAAGTATAGAATTCAGTTTCAAAACCTATTGAATAATATTTATAGTAAGATTTTTCTTTAGTTTGGGACTAGAAATATTCAAACAGTAAAGAAAGTGATTTCTAATATAGAAAGTATTTTTTATGAATCATGAACTTCTTTTAGATAATTTTTTTACTCACCTTATGAGTATAACTTCACCAAAATTTGCAAACTGCTGAAGGAGATCATCAATCAAGGCATCATCAAAAAAATTATTTTCTGGTAAAGAACTTTTGATTGAGACCAATACTGTACCATCAGGTGGACCCTGAACTGCAATTACTTCTTTATAAATGTTTTGCCTCTCTTCAGCTTCAACTTCAAAAATATCTATATCAATCAGGGCAACGACAGGCCTTAAGGCATAAAGGAAGACAGAGTATTAGAAAGGTTTTAAAATGAGTATATTTCAAATAAATTTCAGGGATCATTAGAAACACTGAGACTGTTTAAACCTATGATCAGAAGTCTTCAGCTCAGCTCTTCCATAATGCAGCAAGGTGCCAGGAGTCCATGTGTAAAGGATTTTGCTTTCATCCTGAAAACTGGCATTTAGAAGATCCAGATCTTCAGCTGCAGTCAGAAGAAAACAAAACAAAACACAAGAGAATCTGTATGACAGATCATGTGAAACAAAGAAGTATCTTCTTTCGTTAACTTCAGTGTCTAAGGTTAGGAAGCCAGATACATTTGTTAATAGGAAGTTTAGACATCTTTAAGTTAGAATGATTTTAAAGCTATCATTTTATTCTTTACTTAGTAAAAATGAAGATATTTCTTCATTTCTAAGATTACAGGCTTGTGACCAAACAGAGTTTCATAAATAATTCAACAGACAGGTGGCAGTTCAAAATAAATGCAAACCACTTTAGTTATTAAAGTTAAAAACCTCAATCAAGATTCAATAGAAAATTTCACAAAAACATTTCCTTTCTTCCCTTCATATGAAAAATTAATTACTATACTAAAAAATTATTATAAACAGATGGTAATCGTTTAAAAAATTTGTCTTTATATGTAAATTTTATTTATTCTAGATAATTTTTGTTAGAAAAATCACTCTTCTCTTATGTGATATTTATAACATTCCCTTTTTCCTCATAAAATTTGCATTAATTCATTTAAATAAAAAGTCCATTTCCCAACCTGATCTATCAAAAGGCCATTTCCTTCTTCTCCAGAGGACACGGTCTGTCCATGCAGGGGTACGGCACTTTTCACTGGTGTCATAGTCATCAGAAAATAAATCGTATTTATACGTTGGAGCAAAGGTTACTTTTCCCTCTAAAAATCCTCTAAAAATCTAAAATAAATACATACAAAATAGGTTACTCCAAAATGCAAAAATTCTGTTTCCATTCATTAAATGCCCATTATGTGCAAGAAACTTCTGTGCACGTGCCTGATAAACAACTGTAGCTGAATGTAACAACACTTAAAAATAATAACCTAAGACTTAGCCTTTTTTAAACCACTTGTTTGGCATTCAATTAAACCACAAAAGCATGAACAAGAGATTTACTTGGGATCTTTGAGTAATGAGACATTTATGAAAACCCTCTGACCTGATATATTATTCTCAACTAAAGAGCCAAAGTGTAGAAAGGTTAAGCAGTACCCAGAGTGTTAGAATTCCAGTCCGGGCTCGGCGCCTATAGCTCAACCGGCTAGTACACCTAAGGTGGCGGGTTCAAATCCCCAGCCCGGACC